GCTTCTGCGGGCACCAGAGCTGCAAGGACTTGTAACTTCATAGAGCAGCGGGTGGATCCGTTTTCTGCAAGAGGGGGAGAGAGGAAGGGCAGCCCGAACCGACCGACATCTTCAATTAAACCGGCAGGTTAGTTGGAGATCCACCCTGCAGGAGCAAAAGCTCCAAGCAATCTCTGCAGCAAGAACAGTAAGGTGCTGACCCTGGGGGGATGCCTAGCGCTGTCGATGCACTCCTTTGCGACTCCTGTATGGGTAAAGGAAGAATATTGATGTGATTATACTTTTCTGAAGATTAATAATGTTGTTCATTTTATGCATATTGTTCAAATTAAGTACATGATACACACGCACACACACACACACATATATATATATATGTAATGCAAATAGTTCATGTTGTCAATGCTATTCATATTATAAATTTTGTGAATATTGCAAATATTATTGATACTATTAATATTTTTAGAACTGTTAATATTTAAAAATATCTTTAAGCTTATTTACTAACACTATTAAGATTCATAATCTTCTTGTTATTCTTTATGTCCTTATTAGTATCATTAGTATTGCTAGTATCACTAGTATTACTAGTAGAGTATCATTAAATTGCTAGCATCACTAGTATAACTAGTAGAATGAGAATAATTAGTATAATTAGTATAACTAATATAATTCGTATAATTAGTATAATTAATAGAATTAGTATAATAAGTATGAGTATCGTTGGTAGTATTAGTATTAGTAGTATAAGTATTATTCGTATTATTCGTATATTCGTATTATTAGTTTATTAGGATTATTGCATTATTAGCATTATTCGTATTATTAGTATTATTAGTATTATTAGTGTTATTAGTATTGTTAGAATTATTAGTATTATTAGTATTATTAGTATTATGAGTATGATTAGTATGATTAGTATTATTAGTATTATTAGTATTATTAGTATTATTAGTATTATTAGTATTATTCCTATTATTAGTATTATTAGTATTATTAGTATCAGTAGTAGTATGATTAGTATGATTTGTATGACCAGTAGAAATTGTATGATTTAGTATCATCAGTACTTCTAATAATGTTAATATCAATACCACTAGCATGAATAATACGAATCATTTGAGTCACATTTTAATTTGAATATGCAAATCATTCTAAAACTTCTAATGATGCTGAGAATATGAATATATGATCAGTTTGTAATACAACTACAGTAGAATCATCTTAAAAACCCAAAAAGTGCTAATAAGATTAGCAATACTCATAATACTGATAAAACTAAGAATAGTATGAATATGAAATAATACTAGCAATGCTAGCAATACTAATCATGCTAAGAATAGTAATGGTACCAACAATACTAACAATACTAACAATACTAACAATACTAACAATACTAACAGTACTAACAATACTAACAATACTAACAGTACTAACAGTACTAACAATACTAACAATACTAACAACACTAACAATACTAACAATACTAATAATACTAACAATACTAACAATACTAACAATACTAACAATACTAACAATACTAACAATCCTAACAATACTAACAGTACTAACAATACTAACAATTACTAGCAATACTAGCCATACTAGCAATACTAACAACACTAACAACACTAACAATACTAACAATACTGACAATACTAACAATACTAACAATACTAACAATACTAACAATACGAACAATACTAACCTAACAATTTTCGTCATCGTCTTCACATTAGTAATTTCATTTTTTGACCTAATATTCGTATTAACCTTGTAGGTCTTGTTGCGCATGAGGAATGAATGAACAAGAGCAGACGCGCAGGGCATCCTCCTTGGCTGTCCCATGTCGCCCGCCATGGTAGGACCACGGTCTGTCTTTGGCGTTTGAAACCTTTTAGTTGGTTCACGGAGTTTTACTGCGCAGAAGAGCGGCCGAGAGTCAACCTACCGCGCCCTTGAAGCCTCGGGAGAAAAACAAAATCAGGGGAGTGAAGTGTAGATCCGACATTGCAGGCACTGTTGACCCCCTGTTTTCGGAAACCCCCCAGATTGGCCTTCCGAGGAAAGGCTTGCAGCACCTTTTGAACCTGGGCCAATACAACAGCCAAGTGCTGAGCATCCAGGCGCGCCGACATCCTTCTTGGGAGTTTTGTAGGGAGAGTTGCGGGTACCAAAGATGGAGAAACACATTTATTATAGTATATTGGGGGTTTTTAATATGAGGGGGGAGGGGGGGTTTAATACAGGGGGGAGAGGATTATTTATTGTTGCCCTTTGCGGGGGAAGCATTTTTTCCCCCTCTGTTGTGTAGTAATGTAGTAGTTGTTTTGAGGCATATGAGCACGGAGCAGCCTCGAGGTTGGTATGATGCCGAAGCTATGGTAAAGGTGTTGCGCGTGCAGGACGACACGGGTGAAGTGCGGACCATCTTCCATGCAGACGCTGAGCTGCCAATTATGCTGGCGAGTGCTGGAGCACCCTGTGATCTTGAAGAGTTTGGGGCATCATCAAATTATGGAGAGAGAGAGAGAGAGAGGCGGGGTCCCCTTCAGGCTCGGCTGAACCCTAAACCTTGAACCCGAGAATTCTTGTTTTGTTTTTTCAGTGGGAGTTGCCCTGATTAGGCGTGGCCTCCAACTTTACCTCAGTAAAGCCGAAGCAACAATCAGCAATTTCACGGCCTTTGCGCTACGCCTTGGGTCTGAGGCGCAGGAATGGAGGACATATGCCACGCAGGACCCGAAGTGCCCCCGACTCCCTCAGAAGTTCTAAGCCAAGACCTAGTTTGCGTGGCTGCCACAATAGTTGCTCTGCGTGACATGTGCGTTATGTGGCCATGCATGGTGCGGCCCAAGTTTCTGCAAGACCTTGTATCTGTTTCAGGCGCAGAGCTGCGTCCAAGAGCAGTCTGCCAGACTGCTTCTCTTTCAGCGCTTTGCCTGAACCGGCGTGTCATTGTTGCACCAGACTTCGAAGCTTTTGCTGTCAGACTGCTTAGTCGGTGGTCATGCACGCACGCAACAGACATGTTTGCAGCATCATGTGCCGTTGGTTTTCATGGATCGTCGTAACTTCGGGGGGCGCTGCTTGGCGTGAAGCGAGACACCGCCGCAGCAGCCTTTTTAAGTAAAAAACGAGCTCTATATGTTTGCTTGCCAGAGTTTGTGCATGGAGGGGGTCCTGTTGAATCCTGTCGAAAATAAGTCGCACCTCTTCGACTCAAAAACCTCGGATTGGGGTTGAGAGGCTTGTGTGAGGCTGGAGTAGACAGTCATTGGCCAAGTCGCAGTCTAGCAGGCGCGGGCTTGGGATTGAAGACAGTGAAGCTGCTTGCCGGGCAAGATTCTTGTTGTTGCTGAAGCGACCTTGCTTGCTGGAGACTCTGGCGAAGGGAGCGAGAAAGGTCGCGCAAGTGCGCCCGGGTTTGGCATGATGCAAAGGTTATCTCTCAGTCCGATCCGTCCAACGCCGAAGTGATGCGAGAGCTCTGACATGCTAAGCGACAAATCAACTGACAACTCTTAAGTGGCCCCCTAAGCCCTAAACCCTAAACCCTAAACCCCAAACCCAAACCCTAAACCCTAAACCCTAAACCCTAAACCCTAAACCCTAAACCCTAAACCCTAAACCCAAACCCCAAACCCCAAACCCCAAACCCCAAACCCTAAACCCTAAACCCTAAACCCTAAACCCTAAACCCTAAACCCTAAACCCTAAACCCTGTTAAATACGCATGCCTCCCAGGCAGCTGGCGCAACCAGGCTGCAAAGAGCAGAGGTCCAGCAACTGCACCGCCCCATGAGCCTTCAGCCCTGAACCCTAGTCTAAGCCTGCTGCATGCCTGAGGCCTTTGAGGGAGTAGGACCCCGGAGTGCCAAGTGTTCCTTTTTCTTCGGGCTGACGTGCTCTTTTAAACCTTTGGACATTCCTAGGCTGGACCCCCAAGACTTAGGTGATATCCTTCAAGACGTAGGTGAGCCCTCTCGAGCCATGAACAGAAGGGATGGGCAGGGCAAACGAACTTCAGCAGAAGACGCATGGGCAGTCGCAGAAGTTCGATGATGTCCACAAGTGCTTGGATCAAACGAAAGTCATGCAGCACGTCAGTGGCATGGCGAAGGGCCCGAAGCCGGGCTTCACCGACGCGACGCGAAGAGCCCTTCCCCGGCACGATACATCCAGCCCGGTCGACTTCGGCCAAGCTCAACACGGAAGAGATTCAGCACACATATCGGGCCCAGCGATGTACGTCCTGTGAGTTAATGAGGAGACTAGTAGACACGCAGGTTCTTATAACACAGTATGCTGCATGTCGTGTCGCATGAGGAGCATTTCTGGAAAAAGGGGTGGCGACGAGAAGAAACCATCTTGCGGTCTCAGCAGCTGAACTCGCCCGGCTGTAGAGTTTGTGATTGCAACGGGGTTACTACATTTCAAGAACACGATGCCTTTTTCACAGTCCCATCAGCCGCATCTGACTGCCGGCCTAGGGTGGCCCACGATGGCAGTGTGCTGGCGCCCCTTGCCTTTGACATCCGGGGGTTGTTCATTGTCATCTTTTTGACCTCTCTTTTGAGAGGAGTCTCTCTGTAAGCACGAGATGCGTGAAACGATGGAGCCGATGGAGCTGGTCATTTCATGACATCCGTGCCATCGCATGGCTTGCCATTGGAGAGAGCTTCCCCTCGTCAGGAGCACGGATGTTGTCCAAGCTTTCGTCGCAGTACTGGATCAGACGCCAGACCTGCAAAAGGCGTGGCAGGACTTCAAGAACAGCCACTTGGAATCAAGGATTTGGTCTTGAGTGCTCGGCTTGCCATGTGCTCTGAAGGTTGGGGTAGTGTTGAAGGCGTGGCAGGTCATTGTGTCTCAGCTCAAGCATATATGCCCCTGGCATGTAGGCGTGGAGAAGATCAATGCAGCTGCCAGCCTGCAACTTAAGGTTTCGTCACCAGAGTCATTGCCAGGGGGGTGTGCATCATGCCAGTTTGCAGCCAATGCAGCCAGCACTACTGACTATGGTGGATTTAGCCTGCTTGAAGGACTGGGGTGAGGTGGAGAAGTACGCAACAGCAGCTCTTCAGGACACGGTATTGAGAGTCGGGTGATTTGATGCAGGAGGTTTTTGTAGCTGCCATCCAATGAAAACTCAGCTTAATCGCTATCATGTCAGAGCTTCTAGAACATGCTTGGGATCGACCTGACCCGAACTAATCCCACGTCCCTAACACACCCCCAGAACCCTTGTCTGCTTCGTGGCTTCTTCGTGGCTTCGTGGCTTCGTGGCTTCGTGGCTTCGTGTTCCTTCAACCCTAACACCCGAACAGAATCCTGGCCTGCTTCAGCGAGCGCGAGAGTCAAAACGCCAAAGCCCTAAAACCCCAAAACCTTAAAACCTTAAGACCCTAAACCCCTAAACCCCTAAACCTCTGCTTTTAAATTAAACGCCTCCTCGTGGCAGAATCAAATTCCGATTCAGCGTGGCTGGACGGTGGCGAATTCTCGAGCCGGCCTTCGCTTCTTCCAGTTTGGCGAGGCGCCTTGGGGGTCTTCCCTTCCACTCACTAGCACACATGTGGGGGTTTCCGACACTGCGCGGGTAGTTCCCTAGCCACGAGTGCTGGGTTTGTGCTTCGCGCCTGTGTGTCAGCTTCAGAGGCCTGGATGTAAAAGGGTACCTTCTTTGGGTCCTTCTTATATATGAGGGAATCCTACTATTTCGGGGTCTATTTTAGGGGTCCAGATTTTGACTCAACTGCTCTCCTTGCCCCCAAGTGTCTCCTGCGCTCCTCACCCGGTTCACCGGGTCTCCTGCCCCCCCACATCAGCATGGAATCCCGCCGACGCCCAATCAGAGAGCCATGCTGGGCATACCTGGAGATCCTGGAGTGCCCACGCTCAGAACATCCCGTAAAGTATCCCTGTGGGGTATACTCGAGGGGTTCCACATACTTTCATTTTAGAGAACTGGCACGCCAATTCGTCTTCGAATCCTGTGTGCTCGGCCAGTGCGTAAATCGGGTTGTGCGCGAATCTGTCGCGTCAGCGCACGAATCCTCACTGCGCGAATCCTCTGGTCGTGAATCTCGCCTTGCCAGTGCGCGAATCGGCTGGTGCAGGAATCCGCCGCGTCAGGGCGCAAATCCTCTGTGAGCGAATCCTCCGAGCGAGAATCTCGCCGGGCCAGTGCGCAAATCGGCTGGTGCGTGAATCTGCAGCGTCAGTGCGCGGATCTTCTGTGCGCGAATGTGCCAGTGCGCAAATCGATCCGTGCGCGATTCCGCTATGCCAGCGCACGAAGCCCACGTGCGCGAATCCGCCGTCCAGTGTGCAAATGCACCTGTGCGCAAATCCGCCGGGTGGAGCTCTTTCCAGTGTGCGAATCGGTTCCCTACCGTGGCTGCCACATCCTGGATGTCCAACATGTATACGTCGCATGGAACCGTCACATCCTCTCTCTCTCTCTCTCTCTGTCTCTCTCTCTCTCTCTCGCTCTCCCTCTCTCTCTCTCTCATCTCCTTCTCTAAAACCTTCCCTAAAGCATTCGCAGAAAACGACAGGATCACAGATCGAATGGAATGGAATGTTGTCCCTCGCTATGCAAGCTGTAGCGTGAAGTGAACGTGAGCAAAGCCTTCGTAAGTCCCGGAAGTAGAGACTCGTTCATATGAGCTTGTTTGCACCACAAAACTCCTGCCGAACAACACGAAGGAAGACAAAACACGCAGTTGCATACTTATGTCTCCTAGCTTTGTTTTAGGCGGCGCGTGAAGGGCCCTTGTATGCACAGATTCGGGGTCTATAGCCGAAC